CAAGGAGTGAAAATTTGAGGTGAACGCACGGAGCAATGTATTCCTACGTTATTTGATTCAATAATTTTTGCGCCGCTTAGAAAGGATGTTGATACACACGGGAACCACTCCCAGACAAAGATGCCAACAAAAATGATCCAAAAAAAATTTAGCCGCTTCTTTTGCATCACAGCCTCTTTCCCTCGATGCAATGCGTCAAACAGTTGGACGGAAGGAATGAGTTGAGGGTAAACAGCGAACGTAGGATACACTAAGAAGCTTCTTGTGATTCCTTCATACACTAGATCAACTATTATTTCGACCCGTGCGAATGATATGCATACCAGCAAGGCCGTAGCCTATTAATTGGGATCCAATAAGTCTGAAAAACACGACATTAGCTAATCGACTTTAAGATGAAATGGAGATAAAGGTACGTGAAGATTCCGACGGCCGCATTGGGCCGAACGTGGTAATAGAGATCCTGGCTGCAAATATACTAATAGCAAGCGCAGAGGAGGATGCAGTCGACGCCATGATGGTTATGGCCACATGTTCTTTCAGGTCTGTTAACAAGCAAGGTTTCGATCTCGAGCTAGGCAATCTTTCATATTGCTTACTGAAAGGACCTGGGTTCATGAATCTGGATAAAGAATAATTCAGTATGATGATTGATACACTTTATATATTGAGCACCTCCAGAAACGCGAATCAGAAGTCCTTATGCGAGAGTTTTCAGTGGGACCTGGGATTACTTCTTCCAGAACCTATCCAAATTTAAGTAAAAGATATTCAACATGTCGATTTGAATCATACCCTTCCGAGGATGTATGACACGATCTATTAAATCACAATGTCAGCTTTGTACAAGGAATTTTTAAAGCTACGGTGACATACCTGTAAGAATAACTGGCTGACTACGAGCTACATTAAGCGCGTGAGTTTTTCACTTCAGAGAAAGTCGTAAGCTAGGTCAGTTACCGTTTGAGGCAGAAAGTACTACCTGGAGTGTGAGCAGAGTTACATAACATTTTCTATAGGGTACTCACGAATATTTGTCCCAGGACGGCTCCGAAACAGGACAGACCCAACGATAGAAACCACATGCGGAATGTCCAAATGGGCAGAGTCGGATCGTCATCCAGCGAAAGCAGGCGAGTAGAATAGTCAATGTCAGTATCTGGTGTTACACCAGTTATAGTAAACGCAGGCGTAAGATTTCAAATGAAATGTGGACGTACCTGTAGGCCTTTCTTTACCATCCTCTCCAAGGTCAATTAGACGCGGTCCTTCAGTAAACACGTCGCCAATATCCGGGCCCGAGCTTGATATAGCTACTTGTGCTTTCGGATCACTCACCCCGTCATCTAGTAATGATGGCGCTCGATTCTCCACTGGTAGGGCTTTCTCGTCAGCTTCATATTTTTCTTCAGTCATCGAAGTTGGCTATTTGTCGTCCAGGAATTACAGTCCACTTGGAAGGACTGAAGGCAGAAGACAGAACAAGTGCATGCCGTTTTTATGAGCTTTGCCTCAGCTTGCTACGTATGTCAACGAAAAGGAAAGCATACCAGATAAGATCACTTGACCAGGAAACGTGAGAGCGCGTAATCTGCATGCAGCGAATGAGAAGCATACCAAGGAGAAGAGGCACCAAAAATAATAGGGTGCAACGCGTGCTTGAAGGAAAGAGTCTGCGCGTAGGAAGTTGGCGTCATTGTTCAAAATAACAGAGGCGGGACTCGTCATGGGCCGCATTAAAGACGGGGCACTCTGAAAATTGTGCAGCACAACGATAGACTAAGTTAGTTCGCGCCCACAAGTAAATGCACCCAGAAACGTCAAGGAAATCCTACCAGAAAAACATAGAACGTTGCTTAGATTCAGAACTGCAGTGGCGCAAGTTGCCTGATGTAAGACAGGCGAACCGACTACTGCAATTCGCGTCAACGTGGGCAACATACTGAACATACGAAAATCAAAACGAACCTTTACCAGAGACACGATGAACTGACAGCGTGAGGATCTCCTAGATAACAGTGGAGTCAGTACCGGTTTATGTCGAGGTGAAAAACTGGAGTGGCGTGATTACATAAATTTTAAGTTCTCACGGTTCCAACACCGTCTCGGACACGGTTCTCTCCTTTGTCATTCAACAATTCCTGTCATCTTATCTGCTCTCTGGACCGTCTGAGCCCGTATTATCAGCAAAAAACCAACACCAAAGCACCTTACACTTGTTTTCGCTGTGCAGAGCTCGGTTTGGACCTCTAACATTTCGTCCAATCCTCACTCTCCTCACTCGAACATAATTACTCGGACGGATGACTTTGGCCAGTTCGTTATTCCATCTTACAGCAAAATCACCGCAAGATTTGCATCTAGGAGTTTTAGGTTCATTTAGCGCCGGCTAGCGTTGAACATTTATGATACCTTTTTGATATCTACACGCCTTCAGCAAGTGCAGCGACTGATGGTCATTGGAAACAACGTTATCGGATGATAATGGGCCATTGTATATTGGTATCTGTCACTGGAATACCCCTATATCTCGACTGCTGATTCGAATTCTCGTAGGGCCTGATCTTCCATAACATTCTAGCGACTTCTGGAATCATTCGTTCAACATTCTCGGCTTGGTCTATGAGCTCCGCCCCTTCTTAATCTTGTTGAACAAGGCGTAACGTTTTTAGTTGTTCGTTTTACCCAACGAAAACTTAAAAGCTTATATGACTTGGGATTGTACTATGGTGTGCGACTCGCTGATATACATGCGCTCTCGATCCTGTTCTCTTTCTATCCTGACACCTTGTTCCTTGCTCTCGACTTTGATAATTCGGATAGGATAGGATAGGATAATGCCTATCCAAATCTAACTGCGACCGGTCGGAACTTTCGATCACGAAAACAGCTCGCTACCATTTACTTTGCCTTCACAAGAATGGACACATCCATGACGAGACAAGTCGTTTAACTGTAAGCAAACATTTCATCCCCAAAAACCCCAAACGCGATGTATTCACATCAACTTTAAAGTCTATTCAAGCCGCATCGGCACCCTCCACTGTTCATTACCGCAAACTGCCTATAGCCCAGCCACGAACCAGTTTTTAGAACGGCTGCGGATAAACCATCTTTATAACGTATACCGTATATTGAAGTCTAACTATGGGATTCCAACAGCACATGCCCAATGCCAACGAGGCTATGCGTGGAATGCACCGTCTCTCTGGATAGACTTGTTCCTCCAATAGTGCGTCATTTGTCCTCCTTAAAGAAATATCCGTATACTGAATGCAATGGACATAGGACGGGTTGATAGAGACAGTTTAGAGTCTCATTGGCTTTTGGAGACATGACTTGAAATGAACTTGGAAACGAGCTAGTGAGTGGATCAAGCATCTGACTTCGACTTCTTTACGTGGAGCGCCGGCGTGTTTAATATCTTGGAAATGAAAGACTTCTCTTCTTTTCTCGTGATGTGCCCTGTCATCCTTCACATTTTGAAAGTTTGGAACGCGGCATCTTTGTTCTAGGAAGTCGAGGAGGACGTGCCTTTGAATTCCTCCCAGAGAACGTCTTTTTTTTCTTATCAATCAAACCTTTCTGATGCCACGAATTGGACGACAGCGACATTTTTCCTTTTCTATTTTGAAGTTGAAATAGTGCCACATTTCCGGAAACGACAGTTGCGCTGCAGATATCAGGAACGGGGTACGAGCGCGGAAGTGCGGAAACGAGAATAAGCAAGGAAGGACAGTGGGCGTTCTTCACGCCGAGGTGGCTTTACTTAAAATTCTGCTAAAATAATAGAAGATATCGTCAAATGGCACCACCTATTATTTACGTGGACTAATGAAAAGTACGATCATATTCTTCACTCCGCTTGTGCCGGAGAAAAAGAAGGGGGAGGGTAAAGAAACGAACATCCCATGAGCCAAGTACACAAGTACATTTTTTTTCTTCGAGTATCGCGGTTATTCGGACTCCTCCGCAAATAGGACTGATCATTCCAGAAATATCAATTTTTAGAATAGACCAACCCACGGCGAAAAGCCCATCAACGAGGCTGTACAATCTCCTGCTGCTATGTTTCCTTTTCTTTTCTATGGGAACCAGTCGATAATTGCAGCTGGGAGTCCGTCTCTCAATTGTGTTCTAAATAAACCAACAGAGTTACCACGTCCTGCTCATTGTGTGTATCCCCTTCACGTATCCTATGACTTGAGCTGGGGATACATAGAAGGGAAAAAGGTACACTTGGGATGAAAGGTATTACCATATTATTCGTTATCGCAGAGACACCGCTTCTCGAGATGCGACCTTTCGGTAGTCCACAGGACTGTCAGGCGTCTTTTGTGTTGAGGCGACGTTTAGCGCCTAGAATGGGAAGAGGGACTCGGAAAATATCCGAGAAGTCGGCGGATTGCGCAGTACTTACCCAGCGCACAGCCTTCCGGGTATACGTCCAAGGTTTTTATTAAACACGTTGATGGCAGTTGCAATGTACTAGTTGCTGCCGATTAGAGCTATACGAGGACTGGTTAGGTCCATCAGGGTATTCGTTTTTAGTTTAGTAGCAGAGCTTATATATGTGATCCATGAACTCACCGGGAAGGCCATACCTTTTTCTTCTTCCTTGTACTTGCCTTTCTTGGATGAATCCGACGAGATACCAAGGCGCTTTTTTCGGACGGGCGTCAAGAGGATGCGAGCCACGTTGCTTCTTACAAAATAATCTTGAATGACCGGTCCATGGGACCTACGAGTCAATCAAGCTAACCGGTAGCTTACTATAAGATGGCGGTAGTCACCCCACTAGAATGATACGTTACGCCTTAGAAGCGCGTTATCGATGAATGTCAAGTGATTTGGATGGTGACTAGTGTTGAAGGATCAAGTATATATGCAGAGTTTGGTAGGGCCGCGATGTAAGCGCTAGATTATCGCTTTTGTTCCGCTACTTAGGAGGATGAAATCCTAGTCCAGCTCAGCATGAATCACCTTCAGGCTCTCCCACAGGCGCTATAGCCAAGTGGTTACGGCGACAGATTAGAATCGCGATACCTTTGCAAATACTCATCTGTTCCTCTTTGAGGGCGTAGGTTCAAGTCCTACTGGCGTCGCTTGAGTTTTTTTTGCGTGGGATGCGTGAAGGATATTTTAGGTGTGATAAAGTTTTCTCTCATATCTTTCCCAGATCAGTTCCCACACTATTTTTAATCTTGGCAGGACATATGAGCGCTTTCGCATCCACGGCGCGTCTTCTTTGAAGCACAGCTGGGAGTCTTATCCGGATTCGGCATGGCCGAAAAAAAGTTTCCCTTTGATGTCATTCGCATGTCAAAGAGACGTTCTCTTGACAGGAGTGAGTTCTCTGCGGCCGCGTTGAAGACGCATGGCAGTTGGACTGAAGAGCACGGATTGGGGGAGGATATCATGTTGCTTTGGATGGAAGTATTATGAGCCTGATCCATTCCCTTTCGAAGGCGGTGACCCACGCGGAAGAGGGGAGGAGAAAGATCATGCGTGGAGAAGCGCCGCTCGGCGCCAAAAGTGGCTGAGGACGAGCCGAGTGTTATTTATAGTTTACTTATCACATTACCACCTCGGGCTTCTTGGAGCGTGTGATTCAATCTTTTTAGTCGCCCACGATCGGTTTGTCTCTCGTTACTCACTCTTGCTCACTCGTCACCATCGTCACTGAGGGTCGTGGTATGATTCGATATATCGAGTCTGGAGGATTGGCGGGGTGTCGTGTTGAGAGGATGGACGGACGGATGAATGACGTGCAACACCAGGATGTGGACGAATAGGCAATGTCGGACCTTGAACCGAAAGTAGTGTCGGTTATCAGCGCTGAGACGGACAGCTGGACGAAAAAAGTGTGTGTCAATGGGCTCTCCGCCACCTGCACGGTGGTAAACGACGTATAGGCGCTTAGCAGGACCCTATGTGGCGATGAGATCTTGAGCGCTTGTGAGGAGATGGCATTGAAGCACGGGCGTTTATCAGCGAAAGGCAGTAGTCGGGGGCGTGATCCGAAAATGGAAAGAGGCTCCGGTTCCTCGGCGTCTCTATAAAATTTGTCATTTGATCAGATGCCATGCAAGACAGGGACGATATGACGCTTACGTATGGACTCTAAAATAAGCGCCTTTCAAAAGGCTTGCCACACGTGTCATAATTTTCTCTTGCTAGGCGGTGCTCCAAATCTCTTTCTCAGACTCCCATCATCTGCTCTTAGCGCTCATTCTTCTCCTCCCTTCCATGCATTCGCCGCTCGAACTCTCCCATCCACCCAGCTCGTCGTCCGTCATTCGCAATGGCCGATCTCCTCAGAAGAGCCTAATTGAACATGCCGTGGCCCCTAGCGGCCGGAGAGGTATGGTGCCATCTTGGCGTTTCCCATGCGTTTTCGTCGTGGTCCACTCATTTCACCATTCATCCCCAGGAACCGACACTTTGGAACGCAGAATAGCTCCAGCCGCATTCTACAACGCCGGACGCAAATACGACGATCCAAAATGCCAGCCACGCACACGCACATCGATTCTCAACATGATCACGGGCTGGCTGAACGACGAGCGGCGGGAGTGTGGGATGCTGTGGATATACGGTCCGGGAGGCTCTGGAAAATCGTCCATCGCCCAATCGATCTCCCAGTTTTGTGATGAAAGGGGTTGGCTGGCGGCGTCTTTCTTCTTTGCGCGGGGTATTGCTGGTCTGAACACGGAGAAACACTTCATGGCGACACTGGCGCACCAGATATCCGTCTCCATCCCCGAAACACATCGCTTTATTGCCCAGGCCGTCGAGAGTGATCCTTCCGTTTTCTCCGGCTCTCTCGAGCACCAGCTGCAGATGCTTATCGTCAATCCGCTCTTGCAGGCCTATGCCGCTCTCGGGGATAAGCGGGATCCAAGAGGTGGGCGCGCCTAGTAGTGATTGACGGACTCGATGAGTGTCAGAACACGAACGTTCAGCGCTACATCGTGCGAATACTGTCCACCGCGCTCATCCACCGCAAGGTCCCACTCTTCATCCTCGTGTCCAGCCGGCCTGAACCTCCTATCCGTGACTCGTTCAACTCTTATGATCTCCGTGACATCATATATACGATCGTGCTTGATGAACACTACCTTGCTGACTCCGAGATTAAACGGTATTTGTGGTCAAAGTTCGATAACATCAAACAAACGCACCCGTTACGTACTTATATCCCGCCAGCGTGGCCTTCATCGCAGATTATACAATCCTTGGCCCATCGCGCTGCGGGGCAATTCATTTATGCGTCCACTGTGATAAAATACGTTGACTCTGCCCAGCATCGTCCTGTCGAACGCCTGGACGCGGTGTTGAGGATCAATAATCCCATGGGAGACATTCCGTTTGCCGAGCTCGATTGCCTGTATCGACACATCTTTGCTGCTGTTAACAACATCAAGGGCGTCTTACGCATCCTCGGCGCCATCCTTTTCTCTCAGAGACTCTATTCCAAAAAATTCGCACAGAACGATCCCGAACTTCCGATTCCGACTACAGACCCGAGATTCCTGGAAGAGCTGCTCGGCCTGAACCGCGGTGACGTCTCTTTCATCCTCGCAGATCTTCACTCGATACTCAGCGTTCCTGATTCAAGACGGAACTCCATGTCTGCGATGGCCTCTACGGGTGGCGCTAAATCCGGCGAGACAGGCATACGGATCCTCCACACCTCTCTTATCGATTTCCTCACAGATCGATCGCGAGCCGGGAGGTACTTTATAAACTCGGTTAAAGTCCACGCTGAACTCGCACGAGCTTGTGCTCGGAATTTGCTCTCCGGTAAGCGCTCTCTATTAGACCTTTTGGACCCGAAGTTTGTTCTGACTCATGGTCATGATACTTTTTTTTACGTTAGGACATAAATTTGTACACCAATATGCCGGTCAAGCGCTCGTGACGCATTGCCGGTACTCTGTGCTCACACAAGAACTGTTAACTGACCTTCTTCACTTCGATTTATCAATATGGTTGACAACGTGTAAGACGTGGAATGACGGTGGAGGACCGTTCGATCAAGCCTGGGCCGAATTACCACATCTTTTCCAGTGGTTCAAAACTCTGGTACGTTTTTTTTTGTTACACGTTGGCGCTCTAACCCATTATGCTCATTTATTTCTCTCCTCCTGTTTGCTGCCATTTCAAATTTCTTCGGCCGAATCTAGACATACCCCGATCCGCAAAAAGACCTTTACGACCGACACATCCAAGCATGGGACCAATACCTCCACGCCGAGCTCAAAAATTATTTCACAAATAATTTCTGACAGACCTGCTCACATTCGTCACGTACCCCCACCTGCTCTGGGATTGGCTGCACGTGTGGCCGTTACTGGCTGTTCCGGCGGATGAGACGGTGGAGGTGGAGGATATGGATAGACGGGGGCTGTATTTGATGGGTCTGAAGCAGACGTTTGATCCTTATCGGCATATGCTCTCCCAGTTCTTGACGGATAAGGCTCGGGCGGGACGGTATGTCATGGCCCCTGCTCATTATACGCGTGTCGCGCTGCGGATAGCCAAGTACCTCTTTGAGCCTAAAAAGCCGTGCGTCGCATCTTTTGTTTTTGTTTTTTGTTTTTGTTTTGTTTCTTCTTGCAATTCGCGTTTCACATACTGACCGACGTCTCCGTGTCTCTTTCAGTGGTAAACTCTATCAATACAAGCTTCCAAAGGAATGGACTTGGTATCGCCAAGAACACGACGACAAGATTTTCCGGGAAAAGAAGACCAAGGAGACGTTCCAGGCTGGATTGCAGTATTTAACGTTTTACCTCAACCAATCAGAGCCTCAAGAAGAGCTCATCGCGTACCTGGAGAAGAACCACCTGGACCCTATTAGAGCGCAGGAGCTACCGCGGTTAGCGTGGGCTGAGGATAAGACCAAGCTCGAGGAGGCCGTGGTGGATTATGTCAAAGTAGGTCTTTTCCATTCTGCAACTCTTCTTCGATAAAGGTTCCATTTTGCTGGAAATGTATCCTGATACTTATGTTCTTTTCATTGTAGCGGTGTAAAAGCCCCCCTTCCACAGAAGAAAGAAGTCAAGGGGCTTCGTAACACCGCGCAGCCTTCTCAGCTCGCGTTGCATCGACCACAATATTCCATGGTCATCGATATGACTTTGAAACCCATTATACGCCAGACACGACCGCAAGATGAGCATGTCTTTCTACTTTTGTCTTCGTTTTCTTCTCTTTTTTTTGCACTTCTTTCGAACGACATGCTCATCTTCGCGTTACGTTGGCGGGCTCGCCAGGTTGTACTCTATGTATTGCTATTGTTTTTTGCCCTGTCTCGTATCTTTTGTTCTTCCAATTCGACTTTGACCTTGACTCTTGGAGTGCGATGACGTGTATTCATCGTTTTTCCTTCCATTGCCTTACTAGCATAAGTAAGGTAATGGAAAGAAAAAAGACGGATACCTGTTACCACTCTTTTTTTTTTCTGGCCCTCTTCGTATCTTCGTTTTCTCGTGCACTTTGACATGGGTGTCGTTTTGTGTTTTGAGGCATTGGACGTTGTAGAGGAGGACTATGAGAATTAGTACAGTATGTATTTCTATGCCTTTTTTCGTAAGCACCCAATAGAGCTTTCTCTTCTCTTTTCTCCTTGTGTTTCGTATGATATCATTCTGGAGGAAAGTGCTCATTCACGTCCCGAAGCCAATCGGTGAGTCGAACACCCCCTAGTCTCTGCGTGGGTCTCTAGTCACTCTGCCCTTTCTAGATCAGTCCAAATCACAAGCCTTATCGCAACCTATAGGCGGTCCTCGGCTTCACGGATCGTCGACTGTTCAGATGACCCTCATGCCACCTGCGTGTGTGAACCACACTTAAGCGCCGCGGGGTTTGAATAAATATCCCCTCTGTCCGCGCTGCCGCGCCCACAGCTTGGGCGTTATCCCATGTCGAAATACTTCATGCTTTGTCATGTATGTGCCTCATCCACGTAATCTGGGGTCGCTGTGGGAGCACCCACTGTCTAATCATAGGTTCGAATAGTGGCACACACTGCGCACTACACCCTGGGCTAGTCGCGACGTCAATATGTCAATGCACTGCCTCAAGACGATGATGATGA